TCTTTCCTTCATTCAGCAGAACATCACTCTGAATTCCTGCATCTTACTGAAAATTTAGGCATCACGCTTTAATGGCTAGTGTAGGTAAAGGAATTCCCATTTTTTATTTCAAAAATGTAGCTTGAGATGACAGAGCTTTATGACAATGCAACGTGAATATCTTCACTAGTCCACCGATTTTCCTTCTTTCTAGCAATGCGTAATCGCGTCTTTGTAAAATATGCTTTAGACGTTTTTCAAATTCTACGATGGTTCGTTTTTTCCTAAATTTCGCTGTTTGGGATTTTAATTTAGAATTTCGATCCAAATTTCTTTCTAGATGTTCCACCTTCTTTGTCGCTGAGCAAACATTCTAAAATCTTTTTTCTCTATTTTCAATATTTTATTACAATTTCAAGGATATTATTTTTGTTCAAATTATCAATATTCTTGTTTATCTTTACTTAGGGCACTCGGGATATTGTCACATAGGGCATTGTCACTGTGAGTTTTATTTCAAAATGATCCACATTTGATTTATTATTTCAGCTTCAATTAGCATGAAAACAATACTATTCTTATTTCTATAAGGTTACGGCACGTTGCAACAGCACAAGAAGCCATATTACATAAAGGATAGGAAACTGACTAAAACTATATATAAGAAAGTATTTAAATATGATTATTAGAAAACAAAGATGATATTAAATAATTTGGGATATGCGATCTCCAGAAAATCGTCTCGCAATGAATGAAACTACAGTTTTAAGGCGCGAATCAGAGCAGGGCAACAAATACGTCAGATTACGTCCGGTTCCCCCCCCTCTATGAGACTCGCGTCGGCGAGGAGTCGAACAAAGGAATGACCTAGCCCTTCTATTTATCCCTGGGCAAGACTTACCTCGGTAGTGAAACCGAGATGGAATTACCGTTGTTCACTCATCTGTGTACTTGGACACATTAAAATAAATATGTAAGGTTGTAGGGTTTATATTTATTTTAACTAACATTTACTTTAAGTTTAAGCTATCTTTCCTGTCAAGCCTTTACTTTCCCCTGGAATTGCCATGCCAGAGTATAAAATTTAGTAGAACGCGCAGAGTATGAAATTTAGCAGAAGTAATTTGAGTTAAATAGAAGGGAACGAGTTTGTAAGTGTGCTTTTTTGATTCACGAGCATGAAGGTGGCTAGGTAGAATTTAGAACCGCGCGTTTCGGCCTGGTGCTTGCTTCGGCAGTTAGTGAATCTTTCAAACTTCTTATTCAGAAAGTTTGCTGAAATCTCAGCTGTACTTAGAACGCGGTTACGTTAGTACGTTTATTAGAGCCTCTTAGGTAGTGACTGTTTATTCATTTTTAGTTGACTTTCTTATTTTTATTTACCGTCGGGTCGGCGTAGTTTGTGACGTCAGGCAACGCATCTGAACTTCTAAAGTGGAATAAAAAGGAGTTAAAAACCTTCTTAAGAGTTTGTGTAATTTCCAGTTCATAGCAGTCACTACTACTATTGCGGGCAAGTTGGGGCCACGCAACACCACAAGGTATTCATTACAACGTGAGTCATAAATATGAACTGTATATTTTACCGACATATCTACATTATTTTCAAATGAAGCCGAAAATGAGAAATATAGCAAGAACGTATTTTATGTTCTCAGATTCTGCTGTGAGATAGAAGCGACAGGTGTTACTGGTAAAGGAATCATGGTAGCATATCTAATATCATTTCAGAAAGTGTATATTTTTAACTTCAGCCAGGTTAAAGTTTGCATAAGCACTTTAAAATAGTTTAAAAAGGTAAAAAAAAAAAATGCAATTAAAGACGGAGACTGAATTCAGAAAGAATAAGACAAATTAAAGGTCAACAGAACAGAACACTTGAACTACAGAATAAAGAAGATATGTGCTATATCATCGGACCTCAACCTTTTTTTGCCTCATGCACCCCTTTCACCATTGCTAGATAATACCGCCTAATTTCCCAAACTCGAAATATACATATATGCATTTTTTATATTTAGATTACTTTTTAACGTGTTTTATAAATTAAACAAAACAGAAAATGTAGATAAATATCAATACACGAATAAAAATAGTTTTTTACATTCATGAACTAAAACTAAATGTCTAACAGCTAAATAAAAAGCAGACTGCATTTCTCCCTGAAACTATGAAATTCATTCTTGGGAGGAGTTTCCCCCGTTTGAAAACCCCTGTGCAATACGATTTAATTAATGTAAAATATATTTGCTTCTAAGCAAGGATTACGCTAATTGCAGTACATCAAACTATATCCGAAGCAGGACAGAATAGGGACAAGCGTGTAAGGCACCAACTCAATGCGGTAGGTGAAATTAGGTACAGCCCTTGCACATGAATTATCTGGAGCAGGGGATCCGCAAACATCCTGTGTTCGAGAGTATATCCGTAGCATTGCGATAAATGGTTTTAGATCGACTTTATGTGAAAAATAGTATAAATGAAAAGAAAGAAAGTTTTACACTATTCACGGAATATTTTACTAAAATTGTATTTGTTACAATTTAAGCTGTTTCTTCTTTCCTTGCCATTTCCTATATTTATCTCGAATTTTGTATAGCTATTAAACTGCAGGGTAGAACGTACAATCTTGATACATTTTTGTCACATAAGTAAGAATAGTTTGTAAGGCATGCCTTAGAAACTATTCTTAGCATGCCTTCGTGATGTAGCAGTCAGTACGCTCGGTGCGTATTCGAGAGGTTCGTGGTACGAGTCCCACAAAGGCATTGCTCATTTTTCAAGGCTCTCAGCATCAAAAAAAGCTAATGTCTCTAGAGTGGCACCCGAATTAAAAAAGGGTTGTGGATGATGATTTTCCACCACCAGGATTTGGCGATTGGGTTAATTAATCGTCAGTCGCTCTTTAAAAGGGGGGAGTATATAAGATATTTCTCTTGCCTTCTTAGCATTGCTTAGTGGTGTAGTGGTCAGCACACTCGGGGCGTATTCGAGAGGCCCGTGGTTCAAGTCCCGGCGAGGACATTGTTCATTTTTCAGCTCCTCTGCTTCAAAATAACCTAATGTCTCTACAAGTTTATCTTCTACCTTCTTACGCGAAGTTTTACAAAACTCGTAATACTGTATTTAAGATCACGTGAAAAGTGATACTAAATATATTAGGAAATTCCTAATGATCCAATGTAGACAAAGCAAAGTATTCACAACTGCTGAAATATCCTGGAGCTTCAGACAAGACATCTATTTTAACCTAGAGACCTTTAGAGAGGAATAACTTTATAATGGGGCGACATTAGCAACAAGATAAAGTAAAATATTTTTCCATTTTTTGGTTTTGTCTTTCACTCTGTACAGTAGTTTTAATATTACGCCAGTAGTTAATCATTTGTGGCTTTGCCTACTTTCCTAACTATATGTCTCAAGTGTTAGCTATCGCCAAACATGATTAATATCTATAGGTCCGTGTTAGAGTTATTTGATAATAAATGGTGTGTGCATTTTGATAATGTTCATTACCCTTTAGAAATACATTTTTTTGTCAACATAGTGCTTTCTACTTCGTAATCACATGAGTTCTACTTCCTTTGTTTATCCCCACCGCAGGTTTCCAGTTGATGTAGAAGAAAATTTAGATGCTGTTTTTCCTCATACGCACTGGCCAAATTTATTAACTTTTAATAGTTGTTGGGTATACATAAGTTTTATTTTTGATATCCATTAATTTGAACATTTTCAGATGCATTATTAGGCTACAAATATCTGTACTACTACAGAAGTAAGTACAGATAAATATCTACTTACTATACAGAAATAACAAAGTAATAACGTCTTTTAAATTTCTGGATCAATTAAACAGAATTAATCGGAATAATTTTGTATTCTGTTTCCTTTATTGAAAGGGGAACTAAAATTTAAAATGAACAATTTTAATTAATATCACCGCCACGATTTTATACAACAGAGAAATTCAATGCATCTTGGCCGTAAATTAATACAGTTTCTATTACATCGGTGTAAATATATTTTGGATTGTTAAAAAAGTTATACTTTATTTCGAGGAATTAGTTTAATTGTTCGATAATCTAACATTTCCTATCATTGATTCGCTTCTTAGGTTACTGACATATGCTACTGATACTGAACTTTTTAAATCTTTGCTCAGATATGTGGAAATGATTTGTTCTACACGTTCTGAGTCACCCCTGAGAAAGCTATAGAACATTCGGAAAAAAAAAAGATTTTAAAAGGCCCCCTTAGTCTGATGCAATACATATTTCCATCCAAGATCAAGCAATTTTTTAGTGGGCCCTCATTTTACGTTTTGCTGGATATTGCATGAAACAGGTGGGCGTGTTTAAACAGGTTTGCTGGGTATGCATGCTACCAAATGGCAACACCGATACGGTACATAATTCCTAGAAAAAGATATTTCCAAAGTTCCTTATTATTGTTAGTTATTAACGGAAATCACAATAATATATATATAAAAAAAAAGACTAAATAAGCACAAGGGGTATATGCCAACTTGAAACAAGGGGTAAAATTCAACCTCTTCTGCAGTTCATTTCAATGAAACCAGATTTTACGCTTTTCGAGGAAGAGCGCAGGTACCTTTTCAACAAGAGTAAAACATTATTCGCTGCTAAAATCAATGTTCGAATCTATTTTATTATCTTCAAAAAAGGAGTTACTATTCAAGAAACTCAACTAAATTGCTGAATACTGGGGTAAAAATTGGCATCTGCAGAAGATTGCATTTTTTACTTGCATTGTAATCGCCATGCAAAAATTGGAGACTAAAAGTCTCTAAAGAGTAGTGTAAGATATCTAAAGTAAGTTAAGTCCTGAAATGCAACGTGGAGAGTTATTCTATCTGAAGCAAGAATGAGAGTGTCACTGAAGTTATAGGCTTCGAACATGATATTATGGGATCCTATCTAAGCGTTTCCTTTCCGTATTAGCGATAAAAGGCCTCTCCCATTCGTCGAGAGACATCTTATTTAGTTTCTTTCACCACTTACCGCCACCGTTTCGGTAACAGAGGTAAGGGAACCTCCAAACGTTCGCCAAATCGACAGCAAATCCGATAATGGAAAGGAGGAAATCGGCTTTCTTGCTCCACGTCGGTCTTTCTTCCGGATTTTCGCTTCCTGCCGTAACCTGGTCCTGTGACAAGGCGATGATTATAGCACCATCGGGCAACTGAGATGCCTTTTCCGGTTGCCCTTCGCTACAGTTCTTGTGGTCTGGAATAGAAAACAATTAAAATAATTGTACACGTGGATAAATAAATATTTTAATGAAAAATATTCTTTAATATTTTAAAAACGATAAATTAATACTAGTGTGAGCTATTCTTTCTTCAGAGTATTAAAAAAATTAAAGACACTTATGACTTTCTCAAGAGAACAGGGTACTTAGGATTGCTATTGCTATTTCATGCCAATATTTATGTTAGGTGATGATTTGCAGGAACATAATCGGAAAGTGGCGGAATTTTAACTTTTATTATGACTAAAATTAAAAATAATACTTTTGAGGCATATAACAATGAAAGGTTTTTAAATAGGCTCATAATTTTCCTGTGAGTATGAGTAAAAACATCCCAGAACAACAAAACTCTTTGACTGATTGGGAAGTAATGACTGTATAATTCGAGAAAGGAAAATCGGACTAGAAAACACGAAAGATTTAAGGCACAGTGCTGTAAGCGGATGTTTGAAAAATGCAAAAAGTAGTACTTACATTCTTTTAATCTTATAGCTTTTATCAAAATGTTTTATTATAACGTGATGAGATGATTGAAAACAGTTTGAATTAACACTGAGCATTTCATTGCCACAAAAAGCTGTTGCGTAAATAAGTGAAGTAATGTTTCGCTGTTTTATTTGATAGACTGAAATAACAGATGACGACCTTTTCTCGCTGCTTGTGCTTGACAAAGAAATCTTCAAGTATTTAGCATGTCTTTGATTTGATGTCAGGTTCATGAAATGAAGCATTGTGAAATTTTAAGAGTTTTTATTACAATATCGTTTCTATCTGATTTGCCTCCATTTACACACACACTACCTGATATAAAAAAGGCTAAAATGGGTATGCTTTCGTAATCATTTGCCTTCAACATGTTTGCTATCTGTACCTAATTTTTTTTTAATCGGTGAAAGTTCACAATATGACAGTGCGTTCAGATTGGATCTTTAGGTCTGATTCTTATGCATTTTTTCTATTGTGGTTAAGTCCAAAAAATAAAAAGGGCACTCGCCACTCACTATATCGTATGAAGTTCGGCAAACCATTACTGCAGCTGTTCATTGCCTTGCTGCAGAGTAGTTATATGTGTATTTTGGCAGGAGACTGATCATAGCTTTGATACATGTCATTTGATGGCAGCTGCACGTAAAGATACCTGCTATGGACAAACTCTCTTGTCTTCTTATAGACGACGTGTGGTAAATTCTTTTATTGTCAGAATAAGAATTTTACAAGTAAGTAAAATGACACTTTCTATTTCAGTAAATGACGCTACTGAAACATTGCTTTAAGCCAGGGTTTCTTAAACCAGTTTCAACCCCGTTTTATCACAGACATTTTTCGCAACCCCCTAGGACCCCATAATATTTACAAAAATTTTGTGGTCTAAAAGTCTCTAAAGAGTAGTGTAAGGTATCTAAAGTAAGTTAAGTCCTGAAATGCAACGTAAGTATTGCCCCATAAGTATTGCGCAAATCCGACACACGGGTGAGTGAAACTGTCAATATTTTCACGTGTACTGTAATATACTATTGCAGTTTTAGGTCATTAACTTTAATTTCTAAATTTAAGACATAGAACAATGTGAAAATTTTAAATAACTAACAGACGAAATGACAGCGTCACGTGTAAAGCAAGGAAAATGAACGTTTATGTTATAAAAAGAATGCGTTGAAACGTTTTCTTTTGTTTCTTTATCTGTATTGTCTTATCTTTACCTATTTTCAGACACATTGTGTAAAAATATTTGGTAATTGTAAAATTATTATAATAAGTTAAAGAAATATCGAAACTGCTAAAATTTTGGCGACCCCCTGCTGCAGGTCCCGCGACCCACAAATTAAGAAACCCTGCTCTAAACAAAGGTTTCAGGAAATGAAATCATGATAGGCATGAAAGAACAACGGAGCTCTTTGAAAATTCTGTTTTCCATTCCATTCTGTGATTTAAGCGTTATGAGTTCATTAGCATTTATCTGTATATATGTAAGATTAGGTTATCTGTCTTATGTACGATTAGTGTTTTCTGCTTGCAGGATGAGATGTAACACAGCTAGCCACAAAATCACGTTCTTCCTTATTTTGAGGTGGATTAATCTGAATAAAGTGGGTTCAAAATACTTCAGAACGATATATTAGAGCAGTTGAAAGAATAATAAATAAGTAAATGAAACTTCAGTCGACGATTATTAATTTCGCAAAAAATTTCAACACTCTTGTTTTCTTCATTATTGGAGAGTAAGTAATTTCTTTGCTTAACATTGGGTAAAATTAAATTCTTACACATTTATTTCTAATATTATAACACTGAGCAAATGAATGACAAGTTTCTTTTAAAGAAACTTAACCTCATGCGTATTCAATGAGCTGCATATTCAGCATTTTCTGTAATATATTATGCACCAGGTATTAGCTCAGCAACTCAGATGTAAATAAAATTAATAAGCTGTAAATTAATGCATTATAGTATTATTAATGCAAAACTCATAATACTATATCCTTTATGATCTTCAACGCGTAATAAAACATACAAGCAGTAAATATATTCTATAAAGAATTAGGGCCCACCAGCGGCCGAGCGGTAAAGTCACTGAACACTGGTAGTTAGGTTCGAATCCCGTGAACGGGCTGGCTGCATGGGTGTTTTCGTGGTTTTCCTCATGTGTAAAGTGTTTACGAGCCAGTTTCCCTTAGAAAGTCCTCCAAGAAGGCATCCCTCCCGTTAGGCAGATAGCCCTAGTGTGCTTTGCCATAATTAAATAAAACAAACCAAACCAAACTATAAAGAATTAGTTTAATAGTCAAAACAATAAACAGGAAAACCTCAATAAAATATTCTATGAGATTGAATACTGTTCTGTTAAATTTCCTTTGTTAATTCCGAAAGAGCTAGCAAGTGATGAAGAATGCTCAGATATTTGGTTAAAGAAACTTCAGTCTTTTTCAATAAAACGGTAAATCTTTCTCTCGGAAACTAGTTATAAATAAAACAGAATCTTATCCTTCATTAGTATGGAAGAGACAAAGAACTTTTCATCGGTTGCTATGGAAACAGGAAGAAGCAGATTGCGATTTTTCGACAAACCAGCTGGCGAGAACAAGAAGACCGACGATAGTGAAGGGGAGATATGTGCTCAGGATTAAAACTTATATTCCTCGAAAGAAACAAAAGATAATTTTTCTTCTTCCGCTTGCTTGCTACTCCTTCTCACCTGAATAATGAATATTTGACTATAAGAATATTTTCAACATTACGGCGGGATGTGGTGATGCGAACCAAATTTTTCAAAACGAAGTGGAGATTTTTTACAATCATGAGAAGTTACCTTTTTCTTTTGATAAAGGGATAATATAAAGACCTTGAAATTTTAGATGGATTTTTAAGATTTATTTTTGAAAACAAATATAATATGTAGGTAGATCTCAAAGTTCCTGATATACTTCCGAAAGAAATAAAGAAATTTTTAATTATTCATTTTACAATATGATATCCTTGTATCTCAATACACTTTTCCTATCATTTAAAGAGCCACTTTATGCCCTGCAAAATTAATCTGAAAATTTGTTTGTCTAAATGCCCCATAACTGCTCTTTTCATGCCATCATCATCATTAAATATACTTCCAGAAAAATAAGATTTCAGTTGGAGAACAGACGATAATCGCTTGGGGGGCTAAATCTGGATTGTAAGAGGGACGGTCTGTGGGTAATGTTCCAATCTAGGATGTATTATTCAGAAATTGTTTTCTGAGAGTCTTCCGTACGTTGCTGTATCAAGGGATGACCATTCTGACCGCTGTCGGGGCTGATGATGTTGGTGCGCGGGATTAAAGTACCCCTCCAGTTAGTGCCTTGAATTCGTATGTTACAGATCAAGACTATTTCTCAGTAGGGACTACTAACTTTAACCCAAGAATTTAATGAGAAGCCTTGCCTACTTTTCACTTCCTCTGCGGGGGGTAATGAATACGTAATTGTTATGGAAGAACTCTCATTTAATTCTATCTAGGTCAATTCATTTTTATAGTCGTGGAATTTCAATTTCTTTTTATATTTGCGATTCGTAAGGTCAGTTCCTTTTTATATTCATGAAAGTCTATCACGAATCGCAAGCAAACTCCCTCATTATTTGTATGGCGCACTTTGGACTTAATATTCCAATGATTTTTCATCGTATCAAATGTTTAACGCAAAACCTAAGGAAATATTAAAAATGGATAATTTCTGATATATATATATATATGTATATATATATGTGTGCTTATGTTGTTATCTGTTTATAATTGTTTCTAGCTTTGATATTCTAAATTGTTTTTATCTCAATTGAGCATTGGTTGTTCACATCAATATTTCCCTGCATTACTTCGTTTAGTAAATAGTGACACAACAATGCAAGCATTTTTCTGTAGTGACAAAACAATGCAAGCATTTTCTTTAATAGAATTTTAAAATTTATTAATATAGCACTGCTGCGAGAGGAAATAACTGTGAAGCAATGTTTTAGACGTGAGGCTGGAAAGTTTTGTTCTGCCTAAGTGCATATTGCATGAAACTAATACAATAAAATATAGAATGAAAATCTGGTATAGGCACTGCTGGATGTTTTGAATGCTGAGTGCACTATACCCCAGAAACAAGAACTTATCCTTTTTACCACTGAAAACCCTAGATACTTCAAACTTCTCAGGAATATATAGCCTTTCATATTCAAATTCACATATTTACATATGCTTAAGGAAAGCTTGTCACAACTATACGTAACTTTCATTCTCGTTGCCTTAATTTCGATCCAGTAAGAAGATATGAAAAATGTTTTCCCCATTACTAAAGTTTTATGTATTATGTTACTTTATTATTGTTTATTTACATTTTAGTTTTAAATTTTTCTTTACTTTTTAGAAGAAATGCATTGTTATTATTTTCTCAAGTTTGTAATTTAGGTTATGGAGATGAAACATTTTTTCTAAATTTCAATAGCTCAGATAGAAAAGCGA